TTGCTCGTCTCACTTGAGCCTAATAACTAGATTCTTCTGTTGTTCTATATAAATTCTACCGTTCGTTTGTTACAGTGACAAAAGGATTGTGTCCTATAAGGCCTTATTTAGTAAGGAGGATTAGATTGGAATGGAATGGGCAGGACACTGTTGAAGGTAGATCCAGTCCTCGATAGTCGATATGGAACAAGAAGACACCAACACTCAAGGTGGAAGCAATCAACTGCCGGATACCTCGATTGCTCCCACAAAAAATGGAATCTGGATTCTAGCCGGATCCTCTTTGTGAGGATTCTATGAATCATTCATCGTACATCGTGCGGGTCAGAAATCATTTTAAATATTTTTATTTAAAATTAAATACAAACAATACCTGACAAAAATTAACCGATATACGATAAACGGACACAATTTAAAAATCATCACCAAAAGAATCCGGAGAGGATCCTGTCCCCAAAAAATGGGCAATTCGCAAAATATTGAGTCGGTCTACTCCCCTTACATCGAAACAGGCAGAAATCACCCATAACTCATTAGGGACTTGTGATTCTGAATAATGTTTAATCATATATATAAGATCTTATTTATCGGAAGCATTTAAGTAAACTCAATCTTTATTGAGCACTTACGCATAAGTGTGTTTGAATCGTCCTACATCTTCTACATTCAACTTGGACAACCATACGATTTTGCATCTATTTTTTCATTTAAAATTCATTGGATTTAGTCGGGCGATTTGCATCTATTTTTTCATTTATCATTGTTGACGAGGCCATCGTGCTATTTAAACTCTTCCATTTATTCTTAAACTCTAGTACTTATTCTGTTAAGAAGCCCTCCTATCACCGGGACTATTGGAAGGGTTTCTTGTACAAGTGCTTACAACAAAGCAATTTATAGTTTTCAAAAACGATGAATGATTATTCAAGTACCGGATAATTAGATGAATAAAATGCTTCAGCTGCAGATCCATTTTTTTGGTTTTTTTTTTTTTTTTTAAGACATTTAGAAACATTTTGTTTGTTCTTTAAAAATTCCTAGAATTATAAAACATTCTCTTGCAAATTTTTTTTTCTTTAAAAATCGGTTCAAAAAATAAAAATCCCTACTAGAAACAAGAAATTTTTAATTGTGACCAAAACACAGGTTGGTACATTTTAATTGTGATGAAAACACAGATTGGTACACCATGTATTTTTTTTAGGTAAGTGAAGGCAAGCGGATTGGATTTTTTTATTTAGTTTCCCCTAACCATCTAAAATTGGTAGATCAAAAAAATTAAGATAGAAATTTTTTTTTCTTATTAACTTTAAGACACATATCCTACTTGACACACCCCGACCCAGAAAGTCCACTTGGACCCTGAATCGAGCTGTGCTGGCCGACACCTGGAAGGTGACGAAGCCATAAAATGTGATAGTGTATAAAAAGTGAATGAATTTGATTCCAAAAGTGTCTAAATACCAGAGGGCGCTACGAGTGGGAGCGAACCCATTTTCACGCGCGATGTCAGAGCATAAGTAAGGTACAGTAATGTGAGTAAGAATCATACCCTCAAAAATATCCATCAATACTAAGATTCGCCACAGATTCTTGTCGATATAAACTCAGCAGCTAAAACCTGGAGGGCACCAAACAGAAGGTGTGAGTAAGCAATAAAACCAAGCTTCCCAAGTTACTACCTCTCTGAAAGTAATGCCCCTAAATGTAAAACCCGTATCGTTTTCCATAAGATAGTACAACATATATACATATATCCAAACCATACTAGGAAATGACCAAAACCACGGTTTGCCATCAAATCCACCATACATTAATAAGTAGGCCAAATGAACTAAATCAATACAAAGTGATATATCAGTCAGAGTCATCTAAAATGACATGTACAACTTATCCGTATCTCATCAATCATGACTAGCACATAAGTCGGAGTCACCTATAGTGACCTGTACGACTTATCCATATCTCATCAATCCTGGCTAGCATGTAAGTCGGAGTCACCTATAGTGACCTGTACGACTTATCCATATCTCGTCAATCCTGGCTAGCATGTAAGTCGGAGTCACCTATAGTGACCTGTACGACTTATCCACATCTCGTCAATTCTGGCTAGCATATAAGTCGGAGTCACCTATAGTGACCTGTACGACTTATCCACATCTCGTCAATCCTGGCTAGCATATAAGTCGGAGTCACCTATAGCGACCTGTACGACTTATCCATATCTCGTCAACTTATCCACATCTCGTCAATCCTGGCTAGCATATAAGTCGGAGTCACCTATAGTGACCTGTACGACTTATCCATATCTCGTCAATCATGGCTAGCCAATAGCTCAATAAGTATACCTGCACACGAGTCGGAACCACCTAAAGTGGTCTGTACGACAGGACTGGGTATAAATAAATATGCTCAAGTGCTACGATCACGTGAAGACTGGGCGAATAATCGCGGGTCACCTACGAGTCGGAACCACCGAAAGTGGTCTGTACGACAGGACTGTGCACCTACCTTGGATCCAAGGTGAGCGTAAGGTGCGGGAGGTGAACATCACGTGAAGGACTGTGCCCTGGCCACGGGCGGGAGCACTAACACCGGGGTACAGGTTTATGAGCTCTCAATGCATCTCAATATAACATGTGCAACTCATGGCAACCTATCGAAGTTGCCTAACTCATAACTGTAGTCATGCTATAACTCAATCGATTCAATTAATACCATAAACTCACCTGAACTTACCTGGGTGTCCTGAGTTCACCTTTGCACTTGAAAGCATTCCCAATAATTATATGCAAGTAATATACATATGGATATATCATGATGCAATCTACTACTCAACCATGTCGTAGCATTTTCAATTATAAACAATATGGTGTGAAGTGTACAATCAGTAACGCCCTACTCCCAAACTACTTATTTTCAGAGATAATTATCCATGACAACCCAATTAAATCTAATTTAACTAACTAATTCACAATAACTAAAACTTGTCTTTACCAATTTCCTTCGCATTACTCAATTTCCCAAGCAAGGCTTTTGTCTCAAATATTTTATGGCTGCATATAACGTCTCGTTAGACTGCCTACGTACCCTAAATAGGGATCAAGCCATTCGTAGTTCATATAGGTACTTTAAGCATTCATAATAATTATATGAAGGTAATATACCTAATCACTTTAAAAGTGTCGATTGAACTCTCAATAATATGCACAATAAAAAGGAAAAGATCCACTCACCTGGAGTTCACGCTATGATTCTCTAGCGCACGCATCGAGGCGTCCTGAATGATTGGTCCCTGTGACCAATTATCAAATCACATCTCAGAACTCTTATCCGTAGAATATGTAATTCACATAAAACACAACCTCAACGACATTCTAAAATAGCTTGAGACCCATTGACTACAAGTCAACCGTCGATCAAAGATCGATGGTAGGGTTTACAACCCTGTATAACTTGACCCGGAAGATCCGCATATCAGATTTTCAATCCGCAACTCCCAACGATCCACAATATGTTTCTAGAATAACATATTAAAATTTCATTACGATCCAACGGTCAGATCTCCGCCAATTGCCTAAAACAAGTGGCCGTGAACATTTATTTTACTAACTTACAAATCCAATTCAGGAAGATCTGTAAGTCGGATTCCCGATCCGTAAATTCCTATGATCTTTAAATATTACGTATTATAATGTATCCAATTTTGGTGACGATCCAACGGTCGGATCATCGATTCACATTTTTATCAAGTAACGTATCGTAAAGAATTTAGGTTCCAACGATCAACCTACGTCATTCAAATGACAAAACTGAATTCAAGACATTTGACATAGCCTAAAAATAGCATTGGCGGCCCACTGGCCACGCGCCGCCGCACGCGCCGCCGCACGCGCCGCCGCGGGTGGCGGTCGGCCGCCCCGACTCGCCGGAAAATCCAACTAATTCCAAAAATTATCAAACTTCACAGAAATGAAGATCTCAGTGAGTGGAGCAACTTTCATACCTGCCACGAAGTCCAAAAGTGGACGGAAGATGGTCAATTTTGCCCACGAAGCCGGCGGGTGCCTAAAACTTCCCGACGTCGATTCGTCGTCTACGGTGGTCCAACGGGATCAAGGTTGGTTGGGTTTTGCTCCTGGGATGATGGGCTACAAAGCCCAAGTGGTGGCATCGGCCATCGCTTTGCCGATTTGCCGGAAAATGGAGAAGGGTGGCCGGAGCACCATTGATTTTCGTCAACTTTCGTGGCCTCAAACCTCCACATCCCGTGGTTAATCAAGGTGGTTCTTGGGTGGGTTTTGTAGAAGGGAATGAGAGCTTCAAGATGGTGGCATCGAGTATGGGTGCACGGGAAGCTTTTCCCTTTTTTTTTTTTTTTTTTTTTCTTTTCTTCTTTTTTTTTTTCTGATTGGGCTTCCATTTAATTTAAATAAACACTAACCTTGAATAACCAATTTCGAACGTCCGTAACTATACCGTTATAATCCGGACTTGCAAACGGCTTTCGCCTATACGTTCGTACCAATGAGTACTACGAGGATATGCTAAAAGAATAAGTCCCACATCTTTCAAATCGATGGTCAACGGAAGTCAAAGTCCTTGCCTCTAGGGCAATTTCGTAAATTCACACTTTTAAAATAAAATAAAAACGTAAAATTTGGAACGGATTGTCACACTACTATTTATATAGTGACACGTGATGTACCACTTCGTGTACCGATCACACTGAAAATCTTTCATCTGGGAAAAGGAAATGGTAGTTCAGCTTCCATTCCAAATATTGGTGCTAACACTCCAGATTGACTATTAATCGTTACCTCAATATCGATACTCGATATTTCACCTGATCAGTTGGAAATGCAAAAGGGTGTTTGTAACATATCATTGATTCGCTCATTGATACAATTACCAGAAAGTTAAAAAGTACAAACACTTGTGGACAGACACTTAAAAGTTAAAGAAGACCTCAAAACAAGCTTGGATGCATTGTTAAAAAGTACAAACACTTGTGGACAGACACTTAAAAAGTTAAAGAAGACCTCAAAACAAGCTTGGATACACAAGATGCTGGCGATGTAATTTCCAACTCCGACCGACAGTGAACACACTTGGACAAGCATTATTACTACAACCACCTACGAAGAACAAAGACATTAGACACACCACGCATCCTACAACCCTAGTTAAACCAAACTTAGAAACCCTAATAACAAAAACTACAAGCCAGAGGCCTTGGGCTTGGAAGCACTGGTTAATAATCCATGTTAGCGGCTCTTCGTCTTGTACTTGGACTCGTCAATCTCGATGCCTTCCTCGGCAGCACGCTCTCCTTCGGACTTGTCCTTAGTGCTGAGCCCGCCTTTTTTGCCCATCTCCTGGTACCCTTCATGTCCAATCTGCTCCTTCCTGGCTTCGCCTCCGCGGTGCCCCAGCTCCTGGTACCCTTCATGACCAAGCTGCTCCTTCCTGGCCTCGCCACCGCGCTGCCCCAGTTCCTGGTTCCCCTCATGACCTAGCTGCTCCTTCCTTGTCTCACCTCCGCGCTGGCCCAGTTCCTGGTACCCCTCATGACCTAGCTGCTCCTTCCTTGTCTCACCTCCGCGCTGGCGTCCTTCAACGCCAGGCACACGCATCATTAGCCAGATCCAAAAAGCTGCACACAGTAAATGGAAATTTAGAATGCATGCATGATTTTAAGGTTTACCTTCAGCAAGGTGCGCCTGAGCATCGAGGCTCTTGCCGCCGGTTCCACCTGGGACGACGGTCTCTCCCTGCCTTGCCTTTTGGTCCAGTTCTTGCCTTTTCTGTGGGTCTCGCCTTTCCTGTTCGGATGCCATTTCTCTTATTGTTTCTCACGTCACGGAACTCTTTTGAATTTTGTCTGAAAATGTTACTGAGTTAAATTGGAGGGAAATAGTTGTTTTTATAGGGGTAGGGATGGAAGGTGAGTAAGGAGGCAAAAGGGAGGAGGAGGTGCCGCGTAAGGGTACACGCGGCTGACGGGGAGGTTTGGAGCTTTGGGGTAATGCCACGTAGGTGTTTTTGTCAGTGAAGAAGTAGCATGGAGTTTGGAGAACGACACGAGTCCGTAGCTTCATGGTCATCACTGCTACGACTCTATATCCTTGTTTTCTACTTTTCATCCTATAGGTCTGCACCGAAGCAAATGTGCTGCTACAGTGCACCCGCACGCTTGCCTAGAGAGAGAGAGAGAGAGAGAGAGAGAGAGAGAGATTGTTCATGGTTTAAATTTCGAACTGATCGAATGGGTTTATGCTGTGAACGCGGCTGATGGGGAGCTCTGGAGGTTTTGGGGTGATGCCACACAGCTGATTTGCTCTGTTTAACTCTGCAGTAAGAATGACACGAGTCCACTGCTTTTTGGTGACTCACTCAACTCGGTCCACAGTGAATCAGCCACCGTTGCCAAATGATATGATGGATCTTGCAAATCATATACCATACTATTCTAATCTTAAGATTAGTCTAAAAATTGGGTACAAGGAAGCACAAATCAGCGCTAAAAGTCACAAAAGCACAAAAACAATATTATTCAACTGAAAAGCTAAATATGACGTGGCATGATATGAATTAAAAGCTATCACTTGCTGCTAAAAAGGACAATAGCTTCAAAAAAAAATAATAATAATAAATGAGTTGTATAAATTTTATTTATTCTTTTCTAAAAAAATTATTATCTAAAAAAATAATAATTTAATTTGACCAATTGAGTGATGAGCACAACTTTAAATGATGTCAAACTACTATATAAGCTTTCAAATTTAAATTTGGTTTTTTAATCAAAATGGTCCATGAAATTTACATAACTCCTCACTTTGGTCCTTGAGATTTGAAATCAATAGAATTGGTATTAGACTTTGTCCACCATCAATCATTTTGGTCATTTCTTGAAAAATCTTCCATTAAATAAGAATAGAATGACCAAAATACCTTTAATTTTTGTCAAATCATTTGATCCATTATTTATTAGATTGAGGGTATATTTATTATTTTGATCCTTATTTAATATAATTTTACATGGAATGATCAAAATGATTGATGGTGGACAATCTCAGAGACCACTTCCATTGATTTCACAAAGACTATAATGATGTGTTATGCAAATCTTATGAACCATTTTGGCTAAAAAAAACTTTTAAATTTGATGGTTAAAATTCAGCATTTTTTTTAATAAACTAAAACTGTAATTTCATTTTAAAAAATTGCTCTGTAATTTATTTCGTAACGTGTAAATTAATAACATAACAATAATATGACCTTCACGTTAAAATAAATTTCTTAGTACAAGAAGTTGAGACTTATTTGGTTAGATGCCAATTTTTTTCCCTAATAAATGCAAACTAGAAGAACAATGGTGAAATCATTAAACCAAGCGCAATTTTATGATTGGGCCTCATATGGACTACTAGTCAATTGTAGTGGACTCCACCATCGAGGTGTGTAGTGAGAATTTCCGGCCCAAATCTTCTCACGCCCGTCTTATTGACCCGCGCACCAAAACCGGCGGCCCATCAGATCCAAAAACACACGAGACAACCTGAATTTCGTCCCCAGACGTCTCTCCGGTTCTGGTTAAATATTCTTCCCCATTTGACCTCCGTTTATGCGGGAAAAAAAAAAGGGGAGGGATTGTCTATCCTTTCATTTTCACACTCTTCACATGCCCTCGATATGTGATTATGATTAAATCATATCAAAATTTTATATTAATTTTTTATAGAAATAATAAAATAAAAAATAATAGAAATATAAAATATTAACGTGACCGTAATCATTCATTACTAATTAATTATGGAAATGGGAGGTAGACAATTCACCTCAAAAAAACGTACTTAATCACTAATTAATTATTCTTAATTGTCAACCCTTAATTGTACTTAAACCACTAATTAATTACTTCTAATTATTCTCCCAATGCCTGCTGATTCAGTTTGAACAGAGAGGAAGACGTGACCATTCATTACTCATAAGTAAGAAGAAGAGGAGGAGGAGGATAACTTGGTCTTTTCCCTTCCCTTCTTCTTCTTCTGATCAAAACCCAGATTTCAATTTCCAAATCCAGTTCGAAGTTTGGAATCGAGATCCCAAAAAACATGGAAGAAAACCAAAATGAAAACCCCAATCCTACGAGCCCCCCGCCACCGCCGCCGCCGCCCAAGAAGCCGCCAATTCCGCCGTACGTGAAGGCTCTGTCGGGTTCGCTCGGCGGCATCATGGAGGCCGCGTGCCTACAGCCCATCGATGTCATCAAGACCCGGCTCCAGCTCGACCGGACCGGCACCTACAAGGGAATTATCCACTGCGGCGCCACCGTTGCCCGCACCGAGGGAGTCCGGGCTCTCTGGAAGGGCCTGACCCCCTTCGCCACCCACCTGACCTTGAAGTACGCGCTTCGGATGGGCTCCAACGCCGTGCTGCAGGGCGCGTTTAAGGACGCGGAGACCGGGAAGGTCAGCAACCACGGCCGGCTCATTTCTGGGTTCGGAGCTGGAGTTCTCGAAGCTCTCGTCATTGTCACGCCGTTTGAGGTCTGTGCATTTGTCTTCTTAGTTTTCAATTGAAAAGATGACAACTTTATTCGAATTTCGTAATGCGGTTAGATTTTGTATCTTGGGGTGGTAGGTGGCATGTTAAAAGCGATATTTTACTTTAAACTAATCTTTTAAAGTGAACTGAGATTCGGACTTATGCACCACTAATCTTTTAAAGTGGACGGAGATTCGGACTTGGGTGCATAGTTAGTACATTTGCTAGAGCCACTGTAGCTATGCCAGAATGCCTAAATGTGATTTCTTCGTGGATTTTATCTATGATTGGCAATTGTGCGGCTTAATTTAGATAAGAGAATTCGGGGAAGATACTGATTTAATTTGTTTATTTTGCGACCGACCGCCTTTTATGTTTTGAATTGCTCATTGCACTTGCTTAATTTCTTCTGTTCGCTGTTAGTTTTCATGCGAGAGTGATGCTCTCCTGCGAATCAAAACACAAAAATGCTAAGGTTGAGATTTAAATCTCAACAGCTCACTCGTGAAAAATAATGTGCGTAAGAGAATTAGCATTTTGTCCGAACATGTATGAACTCTTAAGCATTGATGTGGGATTGTTTAAGATTGTGCTGTTAGTTGCATTAGTTATACTCAGTTTACGGCTGAAATGGTTAGCTGGTTATATGGCATTGTCGGCTTCAGTCAGTTAGTTATGCTCTTGAGGGAGCTCCTGTGAATCTTTGTGTGCAAGCTAACATAGGTCATTCAACAAAACAAGGAAATTCTGCGTGTTCATTGTCGGCTTTGGTCTTGAATTATGCAGGTGGTGAAAATTAGACTGCAGCAACAGAAGGGATTGAGTCCCGGGCTTCTGAAGTATAAGGGTCCTATTCACTGTGCTCGTACGATCATTCGGGAGGAAGGTATCCGTGGGCTTTGGTCAGGTGCTGCTCCAACTGTTATGCGAAATGGGACGAACCAGGCTGCCATGTTTACAGCCAAAAATGCGTTCGACGTTCTCTTGTGGAAGAAACATGAAGGAGATGGGAGAGTCCTGCTGCCATGGCAGTCTATGATATCTGGTTTCCTTGCAGGCACAGCCGGCCCCATTTGCACGGGTCCCTTTGATGTTGTGAAAACGAGGCTGATGGCTCAGAGCCGAGGTGTTGATGGCAAGATGAAATACAAGGGCATGATTCATGCGATCAGGACAATATACGCAGAGGAAGGGCTTCTGGCTTTGTGGAAAGGACTCCTGCCTCGGCTCATGAGGATACCTCCCGGGCAAGCCATTATGTGGACTGTGGCTGACCAAGTGATAGGATTGTATGAGAAACGATATCTTCGTAATGCACCCTTGTAGGTATCATCATTTCATCGGTTTGCTTGTTCTGGTTTTCAATTTTGTTGCAAGAATACATCCCGCAATCATCTTAATTTTGCAGTTAGTGTTTCCTCTTTGAGTTTCTTCGGCTTCTCCAAATGTACACCGGTTCTTTCAGACCTGATCAGTATTTTTGACGATCGGTAGGAGAATAGGCAACTTCTCATCTTTATAGAAATAAACTCCATTGTGTAGCAATTATGATTGCAAGGATGTCAATGGAAATCACAATTTTTGTGTCTGTTCAATTTATATCAGGAACTGATTGTTAGAGAACTAAATAAAGATGATGTTTTCTTTGTTTTAATCTTAAAGTAACTGTACTTAAGAGTTGATGTGTTGGTGTTACTGTGGGAGATATTCTAGAGTCCAGGCATCTGGACCACGCGGCCATCTGACCGCGTTTTTGGTCCCCTGACCCTCTTGTGTTTGTTATCCTATATGGGCTTTCGCACTCAAGAATTGCTGGATGCCATGGAGAGAGTCGTGACTTTTCTGACTTACCAAAGTCACAAAAGAAGAACATCCTATGTCACGACTCACAAACTACTTGTGTATTTCGTAACACAAACATGCCATGTATGCACATTCACGAAAATGAAATTTCCATCACAGCATGGTTAAACGATAGAAGTGTGAAATAATTGGTAAATTGGAGTCATTTTAGTGGATTACATTCCAATATCAGACCAATTTTCAGAAACACAATAGCTTATAATTTTCATAATACATATTAATACTATTCATCTCTAATTTTCGCTACATCGTCATAGTTTATTGTTTTGATTTGACCTCATAATGAGATGTTGGAGAAAACTGATTTTATTGCGAGAGAACGACTATATTGTTCCGGTTAGAACAATAAAACTTCATAGGTAGATGTTATCGCAATTGAGAAGCTAAGTTCTTCGGAGCATTAGTAGTGTCACTGCTTGTGTTGCTCGTCTTACTTCCTAACTATGGTGATTTCGAGATGCGGA